CTATTTTCTCCCATTGCTTTATTTGTCTACTGCTGTTAAGTTCCAGTGAGTTGGTTCTGACTATAATAACCCTACATAAAATAGAATGAAACAGACCTGGTTCTGTGCTTTCCTCACAGCTGTTGCTATATTTGAGCCCATTGTTGCAGCCATTGTGTCATTTTAACTCATTGGAAGTCTTTTTTGCTGCACTTCCATTCTATCAAGTCCTTCCCCAGAGACTATAATACACCCAAAATATACAAGACAAAAATCTGACCATCTGGTGTGAAAACAATGTTTTGAATTTTGTAAATAGACTAGTATAATAATAATTAAAAAATTTAAAAAGGAAAAGAAATCTGACTGATGTTAGATGGATCGTAGCTGAAAATAAGGAATACCAGAGGACTGTATATCTGTGTTTCACTGACTATGCAAAGACGTTTGACTGTGTGGATCATAACAAACTGTGGCTGACTCTGAGAAGAATGGGAATACCAGAACACTTGATCGTTCTAATGTGAAACCTATACTTGGACCAGGAGGCAGTCGTCAGAACAGAGCAAGGGAACACTGCATGGTTCAAAATTGGAAAGGGCGTACGCCAGGGATGTGTCCTGCCTCCATACCTTTTCAACCTGTATGCAGAACAGATTATCCGGGAGACTGGGCTCTATGAGGAAAAATGTGGGGTCAAGATTGGTGGAAGATTCATCAACAATCTGTGTTATGCAGATGACACAACCCCGCTTGCTGAAACTGAGGAGGACCTGAAATGCTTGCTGCAGAGGGTCAAGGACTGCAGCCTCCAATATGGATTGAGGCTCAGTGTCAAGAAGACAAAGATTCTCACCACTGGACCAATTGGCAGCATCAGGATGGATGGTGAAGAGATTGAGATTGTTCACAGGTTTAGTTTGCTTGGCTCCACAGTCAACACTCTTGGCACCAGTAGCCAGGAAATTAAAAGGCATAGTACTATTAACATGGGAATATCTGCTGTTAGGGACCTCTCCAAAGCACTGAAGAGCAATGGTATCTCTCTGGAAACTAAGGTGCGTCTGATACAGGCCATGGTCTTTGCAATCCCTTGTTATGCATCAGAGAGTTGGACAATGACCAAGGAGGATAGAGGAGAATTGATACCTTTGAGCTGTGTTGCTGGAGAAGAGTATTGAGAATACCATGGACTGTTAGGAAAACAAACAGATTTGTCCTGGAAAAGGTTAAACCGGGTGGCTTCTTGGAGGCAAGGATTCTGAGGCTCTGTCTAACATACTTTGGACATGTTGTGAGGAGAGACCGGTCCTTGGAGAAGGACATCATGCTTGAGAGGGTGGAGGGACAGCGCAGGAGGGGAAGGCACTCTATGAGGTGGATTTTTTCAGTGACTGGGGTAATTGGGATGGGTGTGTCAGAGACTGCAATTGGCACAGGAGAGAGCAGAGTTTAGGGCTGTTGTACACAGGGTCGCTATGAGTTGCAAGTGACTCGATGGCACATAACAACAACAACATACTCAAGATCATATTTTGGTTCTTCTGGATTTGTTTTCATTTTCTCTAGCTTCAGTTTGAATTTGCATATGGGTAGTTGACTGTTCCACAGTCAGTAAGCATCTGGCTTGGTTTTCGCAGCTGATACTGGGTTTTTCCATTGATTCTTTCCACAGATGTAATCAATCTGATTCATATGTAATCCATCAGGTGAAGTCTATGTGTAAAGTTGCTGCTTGTGTTTTTATAAAAGGTATTTGCAATGAACAATTATTGATCGTATCAAATTCTGTCATTCTGTCTCCATTCTCATTTCTGTCACCAGGCCTGTATTTTCTACTTGTTCCCAACTTTTGCATTCTAGTCAATTTTTTAAATTTTATACTGATTTATTTACAATGTTTGAATACATTATTTTTCATAAAAGATATTTCCCATTTCCTTCACCACACCCACCCACTGAATTGTGCAACCCTGTGATTAACACTCTACCCCCCATCCTCACCACTCCATTTCTCCCCTTCCCTCCCCCCTCCCCGGATCCTCATATTCATTCTACAGTAATGGTTTTATACAGTCTTTGTCCTCATGGGACTGAGTTTACGCAGCATAATGCTCTCCAGTCCCTCTCAAGTTAGGTAGTAATTTACAAAATCATTGCTACTGCATGCTGAGTAGCATTCCATTGTATGAATGTACCACAACTTCTCAATCCATTCATTTGTGGTTGGACATCTGAGCTGTTTCTGTCTTCTTATGATGGTGAATAATGTTGCTGTGAACATTAGTGTACAAGCTTCCATTTGAGCCTCAGTTCTCACAAAAATTATTTTTAATGAATCTTGCTTACATCTTCAATCAATTTCAGACTGCAGGAATTAGTAGGAACCTTCCATTTCCTTATTTTTGGCTTTTGTTGTTGGTACATGTATTTGAGTGATGGTGTTATTAATAGGTCTTCTTTGCATGTGTATATATGGTATCATGTCATTCACAATATTTGAGTTCAGGATGGATCTAGCAATGGTCTTTTTTACTATGAATGTAACCTCGCTTTTCTTCACTTTTTCATTCCCAACATAGAAAATCAGATTGTTCAAAGTTGCCTATGCCAATCTATTTCAGCTCACTAATGTCTAGTATATCATTATTTAAGCATTTTATTTCTTTTTTAAAAAAAGTCTTCATATATACCATGCATTAGTTATTAGTGGATGTTTACAGCTATTCCTTTCAATTTTTATGTGTTTTCTGCTATGAGGGCTCAGCCTCCAGTGCTATATCTAATAGTGTTAAGTGTGTCCTGTTATTCATATGGTTTTCCAAAGCTTTTTCTTTCAAAAGTGGTGGCCAATCCTTCTTCCTAGTCTGTCTTACTCTGGGAACTCTACTTTAGTACAGCATCTGATGGACAAGTGTTGTACCCAAAAAAGCAGATGACAGACAAGCCAACCCATTGACAGTTTTCTAATAAAAAAACTGACAGATAAATGATACCTTTAAGAGAAAACTAAAAGGACAAGCAAACATACAGATGTAATGACTTGAGAGGCAGGAATTGTTACATCAAGGCAGCTGTACAAAGTCCAGAAGGCCTGAAGGTTGTCTGGCCTTGGTTGGCAATGGGCCCTAAAGGGGAGGCCTCTAAATAGCCCCTAATATGATGACCCAGGCTCCAGCCATGCCCATCATTATCTGGGTGTAACCCAGCGAAGATAGCCTCTGGGTTTCCTGGGCCAGTTCTCAACATCAGGATGCTGCTTGTCATCAAGGCTATAGCTCAGGACCACCTGGCCTAGCTCCTGGAAAGCATTTAGACACATCTATTTTGGATTGCAAAATAACATAGTAAATTCACTCCTTTCACTATTTCAAAATAGGTGTATGATGGACGATTCAGTATTATAACCAAAGAATATTATTAATCAGAGTAACACGTTGATTGTAACACACACACACAAAAGATTGCACTGAGAGATACAGATGTATTATCAGTTTACTTAGGATATCCCAGTAATGCCCTTCTTTAGTATGTTGTTGTTAAGTGCCGTCAAGTCATAGGTGACTCATAGCAACCCTATGAACGAAAGACCTGAACACTTGCATAACTTTCATTGTTTCTCCAAGCCCATAGGGTTTCTGGAGGCAAGCTATTTCAGAAGCAGATGCCACTCCTGCTTCCAAGCTTGTTTAATCGGGGAGCTCCACCAAACACTGTCCACCATGGTAACCATTATCACATTTGACACATCAGTGTCACAGTGTCCAGCTTCACAGCAACCATGAGTTACCTCTGTACAGCAGATAGACAGACCAGTGCTATACTGCTTAGAAGAATGTTTGATCAAAAACAGTTAAAACCTGCCTGAGGGCCACAGACTAAAATCACCCACCCTTGGCTTGGTAGTATCTCTTTCTGTCCACTAGGCCAATTGAGCTCTCTCTATGTTGTTTAATATAAGTATTCTAAATACTTATTGGGGGGCGGGAACTCCAAACCAAAAATCTACCAAAATATTGAGAATACCAATATAACAAAAGTAAAGTGAAAAACACTTCCAGACAACAGTAACAAATGTTGGAGGCTTGATTTTAGGAAAAGATAGACTACTAACATTTCAAGTCATACCAGTATATACACACATCTTTGAATTAGGTCAGCCACTCATATTTACCAGCAGCAAAATTCAGCAAAGAAATTACCATTATAACTTTAAAAATATTTTCTGACACTTATCGTTATGACCCCCTTTTTATTCTGAATGTCCATGTTTGTATTTTCTTTCCTTTTTGTTCAATCTGCCAGATATTCTTTTCCAAGGGTCATCTTTTGATCTTTTCCCCTTGAGATTCACAAGCATATGTAGAAAAGCAAGATCCAAAACAATTTTGAAAAAGGAGAATATGGAGGGTTTCAAGCTTATATTATCAAGCAATCAAGCCACAGACTGGGACCTACAAATCTGTCATTAATTTTAAAAAAAAAGGCACTAATATAATTTAATGGAGGGAGGAAAATCTTTTCAGTGTATGATATTAGAACTGTTATGGTTAGGATTGGATAAAAGATGCAGAACTAGGTGGAAAGAATGTTAGGGCAGATTGTTGTTGTTATGTGACGTTGAGTTGCCTGCGACTCATAGCTGTACAACATCCCTAAACTCTGCTCTATCCTGTGCCAATCTTATTGTCTCCAACATGCCCGTCCCCATTACCCCTGTGACTGAATCAATCCATCTCATCGAGGGTCTTCCTCTCCTTTGCTGTCTCTCCACCCTCCCAAGCATGATGTCCCTCTCCAAGGACTGATCCCGCCTTGCAACATGTCCAGAGTATGTCAGATGGAGCTTCAGAATCCTTGCCTCCAAGCACCCAGCTTGCTGGACTCTGCCCCCAGTATTTCTCATTCAGTAACTGTGTGATGGGCTAGAGAAATTGTTTTTTCAGTAAGTTCATAGGTAATGCTGCTGTTGTCTGGGGATGCCACTTTTAGCATTTCTGACCTAAAATATCTTTTTTCCCTTAGAAAGTATTTCTGTTCCTGAAGATCCCTTCTCCCCATTCTCTGACTGAGTACCACAGAGAAATCCCCTTTGCAGAGGAAAACATTTTCTGCTTAAGCATCTTCTGCAGAGCCATCTTCACCTCTTGGTTCTTGAGACTGTAAATGAGGGGATTCAGCAAGGATGTGATCACACTGTACTGAATGGAGACCACTTGCTCAAACAACGAACCTGAGGGGGGGCTAATGTACCTGAATAGAGCTGTCCCGTAGAAGAGGAGTACCACGATGAGATGGGAGGAGCAAGTGGAGAAGGCTTTGCCTTGGCCTCTAGAAGAGCTAATGCTCAGGATGGCAGAAATTATTCTAGAGTAGGAGAAGAGGATCAGAGGAAGTGTCAACAGCCCTAGAAATGCACTAGACCCAGACAGAAGCAACTTGTTGGCAATGGGATCAGTACAGGACAGTGGGAACAGTGAAGGTAGCTCACAGCTGAAGTGGGAAATGATGTTAGACCCACAAAAATGTAATTTACAGATAAAAAGATTATTCACTAGTGAGTTCAGAAACCCTACCAGCCATGATGTGCTGACCATCACAGTGCAGAGAGGCCTGTTCATGACCACAGTGTAGAGCAGAGGATGGCAAATGGCAGCATAGCGGTCATAGGCCATAGCGGAGAGAAGGCTGGCTTCTGAACACCCAGAAAGAAGGAAAAAGAAACTCTGGGTTATGCAGCCCCACACTGAGATGCTTTTCTCCTGAGATAGGAAGTTGTGCAGCATTTTGGGCATGGTAACTGAGGAGAAGCACATGTCCAGGAAGGATAGATGCCCAAGGAAGAAGTACATGGGGGTGTGGAGGTGAGAATCCACTCGGATCACAAGGATCATTACCAGATTTCCCAACAAGGTCAGGAGGTACATCACCAGGAAGAGCACAAAGAGCAGAGCCTGGGTGTGGGGGTCAGCAGGTAGTCCAAGGAGGATGAACTCAGTGAAGATGGTGAGATTGCTCATAGTTGTTTATAAATTCTATGCCTAGAAAGAAATCAGTGCTACCACATGCAGTGAGTCAGCAATCTAAGTCATACTGTCAGAGCATTCCCATATCCCAAAGCTTAACAACCAGTACTACCACTTCCCCATTACAATTAGAAAGGAAAACCAGTTTGAGTCATTTCAGTTGTGACTCTCAGAGTTTCTGTCCTCTATAGTTGTCCTGATTTCTGCCAGTGAGCACACAAACGTTTCTGGAATCTGAATCAGATTATATACTTTGAACATTAGGAGTGTATTCATGAGGGCAGGGTAACAGAATGTTTTGCATGAGATTATTTTGGACCACAGAGACATTTAGTTGCAAGCCTTTTCTGTATTCACATTTTGGTCTCAAGAACTATAGAACTCATCACTTTATTCAAGACATTCTTTAATAAAGAAACAAACAAATGAAACAAAACTCCTTGCTGTCCAGTTGATTGCTGCTCGTGGCAACACTATAGGACAGACTAGAACTGTGCACATAGGATTACCAGGGCTGTAATCTTTACAGAAGCAGAATACCACCTCTGCAGCCTGCAGAGCAGCTCATGAGTTGACACAGGCCTTTAAAGTAGCTCCCCATAAGAAATAAAAAAGGTCTCTTAAATACTGCTGGAGGTTAGAAGGAACCTTCCAAACATTAAAGGATGCCTTCAGAGTACCTTCATCTCCCCAGCCTAGTACTAACAAAGCTGGAAAATTATTTGTGGCAATGGATTGGAATTTTTCAGGACAGCTTTCTTCATGGACCTGAGCTGATACATTCACAGCATCCCAGAATGAGAAGATGGTGACCGAAAGAGATTAAATGACTTTCTACTTACCAGACAGCTGAACAGTGGAATAATCAAGAATTAAACTGCATGTTCTGCCCAGTCCAGCATTCTTTCTATGATAGGAACCCTCAACAGGTAGACAATATTATGAAATCTAAACTATTCTGAGAGAGAGAGAGAGAGAGAGAAGCATTGTTATACTATGTACTTAAATTTGAAAAAAGACATTGGACTTGAAAGCTATGGGAGATTGAACAAGATACTTAATCTTTCTAAAGGTCAATTTCCACTTCTTTAAAATGAGGAAAAGTTTCATCTATTTCACATGGTTGATATGAACTTTAAATATTATTTTTGATGTTTGAAAACTAATCTCGTGAGTCAACTCTGACACTAACCTGCTTAGCTTAGAGACCTTGGACAAATCCCTTTAATCTTACTCTGCTTTTGTTTTAGCTTGATAGTGTGATGATTGAGTGCTTAATCAATATTTCATTTCCTTCCTCCTTTATTATTGCCTTTGTTGCTTAGGAAAATGTCTGAGCCATGGCTTTTAACTCGATCCACAATTTTCACTGGGACCCTGAACAGAATTACTGCAACAGCTTTTCCTGCTTTATCTCAGAACTAGTCTCCACAACTATTGTCTCTCTTTTTCTGTCTATTTTACTTTTTCTTTAAAGGCTGATGCTGCTGGTATGAATAGAAAAGCCATGACAAAGGAAACTAAGGAGAAAAATTAGTATTTGGAAAAATGTTCAACTTAATTCATTAAAAATTAAACACTCTTCAAAGAGTGACTCCCCATTTCCTACACTGGTGATGGTTATATAACACGATTCATGCAATTAAAGGAATGAAATTTTACATGTGAAAATGTTAACTTGGCAAAACTGTGTTATTACATACTTTTTTACAACAATAAAAAGGTAAAATATGGGGTGGGGAGAAAAGGGCAACAATGAATGAATGGAATTTCAAAATCTCTGTAGATGTTCACTGAAATTAATAATAATAAAATTTTAAAAAGGTAAAATAAAAACATGGACTCAATTTTGTGATTTTTTTCAATTTCCAAATATATTTGCAATAATAATCTTAAGAAAACTCTAGTTAAGGTGACATATAAACATTACTGATGGCTTTGTAAGCCACACACTTGGACATGTCGATTCTCGAAGTCCTTAGATTTCTACTATGAAGAAAAATGTGACATGCAGAATGACTACACTGAACCATTACATGGTCAAACAAATTGCAAATAACTTAAATGTCTCAGTGTCTGGAATGCAAACTAAATACCAATGATGAAGAATATGAAGTTGTTATGATAATCACAAGACATGGGAATTATGGTGGCCTAATGGATAAAGAACTATGATGTCAGCCCAAAGCTGATGGCTTAATTCACAAACAGCTCCTCAGGAGAAAGATGGACTTTCTCTTCCTGTGTGATTTACAGCCTCTGAAAAAACTGCTGGAGGATCAGGTGTAAGTTTCAACTCAATGGCTATGAGTGAGTGAGACTAATAGAGCAACAAGGAAACATACATATATTGGCCAAAAAACCAAAACATTTAACTTTTTGGTTTGATTAGAACTGGCCTTCAAGACACCCTTTTCTATGATTTCCCCCAAACTCCCATCAACTCCCTAGCTTTAACTGTATGTAGTTGTTTTTTTTTTTAAAAAAAATGACATTCCTCTCCTTTCTTCTTTTATGGTGCACTCAAAGGAAATGAGCTTAGATTTAAGAATATTTCTTAAATAAGGAAGTAAGAGAGTGCCACTAATGAGGAGGTTTATCACATTTGAGTCATGTTCCTCCTTTTAAGAGGATCACTTTTTGTGGAGGCTCAAATAGGTAGTTCTGATGGCCTAGTGGTAAGAACTTGCTCTGCAATCCTGAATGTACACATTCGAATCCACCAGCTGCTCCATGTTAGAAGGGTGGGCAGTTTCCTCCTCCCAGGTGATTAATTGCCTCTGAAAACATGCCAGAGGGTCAGCTAGAGGTCAGTTCTGACTCAGTGATACTCAATAACAACAGCAGCATATACACAGTTGTTAGGGAGGAGAGTTAATAGACTAGTATTATCAGGAGGAATTACAGAGTGAGGAGCAATGAAGACATGGTTCTGAAGGGAAAGAGGAATTTGGATGGAAGAAATCAACAAGAGAAAGTAGAAATAGAGTTAAAACATCTGCTATTACCTTCTAGCACTAAGATTTCAAGATATAAAGACAAAACAATGCAAAACTCATTTTTAATTCCCATTCCTGACAATCATAGCACATGAGGACCTCTGACACTTCCTATGAGGTGGATTGACAGCATGAGTGCAACAGTGGACTCAAGTGTGTCAAAGATGATGAGGATGCATGAGGTTTTTGGATCTGTTGTTCATAGGATCGAGGGCACCTAACAGTAATAACAATAACAGACTGACAGTATGTATGTCTTATTTGTAAGCAGAGGTAAAATGACAAGATCTCTTGCTTTCCCTGAAGCCGTAAGTTACTAGAATTCTTGTCATGAGACTCAAGCTAGAGAGAATGAGGAGGCCTCTTGGTTTCCTGCCACAAATCACATTTGAAGGAATGATTCACCATTCCTCCATTTGGATGACCTCCTTGCAACTCTTATCTGCCTAAAGAGGACCTGCTTTTCTGTCAAGGACTGGGTCATAAAAAGAGGAAAAGAGAAATGAACAGATACTCAACAGATGTGTATGTATTCAAATATCTTGTGCCATTCTTCACCCAGTAAACAACAATGACAAAACATGGTCTACTAGTTTACTTTAGGTAAAATATTTTCCCCTATGCTTGATTTAAGTTTCTTTCTCAGTACTGTGTATAGGTCTAATAAGAACAGGGTTCTTCTATGTTTTACAAACCAGGAATGCCTATCCCATTTTTAACCATATGGTTGAGCAGGACAATTCTGAATCTAATTCCTCATTGGGGTCTGAGCCAATTGCTTACTGACTTCACAGTCAGCAAGTGGAATCAGAAAACACTAGCTAGGCCTTGGGCAAAGTCCATTTCATTTTCTGAGAGTTTCTAGGATTAGGCACTGGGTAGGGATTTCTGGAAAAGCTTAAATAGCTGGAATTTTTTGCATTTGAACTTTTCCTGCCTTGCCATTTTTCTGCGGTTACCTACATCAGTCTTGAGAAAAGCTCCTGGTCAGTTTGCAGAAGTCTTATATTTCTCTAGTCCAATTCTCTTTGGTCATCTCTTTGCCAAGGTATCCCTGGGAGAGGAGCACAGGTAAGAACCCAAGGGAGTCAGAGATTGCTTACTGTTTATGGAGGAGGCTGAAGATATTCTCTGTCCTGTTAATCAAATATAACAGAAAGCCTTTGAGCAGTAGTAATAGAGCCATGCAGTTTTCTTCTAAAGAGGCTTCTTTTGTCTATATGTGCTAGCAGTAAATGAAAAGAAATATATTAGTCCTATTCCAGTGGTCTTGCAGCTACAAATTTCAAGACCACATTACAGACTCTCAGAATCATGTGCTGTTCTGAATCCAAAGAAAAGTAAAGAGAAACACAATTCTTGGAATTTCTGATTTTAAACATACACATGCTTGAGCAAGTTGGGCCATTTTAAGTCAAATTATACAGTTGTTTCTTCCCAAAGTTTGGTTTTCTACATATTTTCCCCAAGTACATTATTAAAGAGTTCCAGACCTAACCTATTCATAAGAATAACTAGATTGCACAGGACAGGGCAAGGTTCTACTCTGCTGTTCATTGTGTTGCTGTGAATGACAGTCCACTTGTGGGCACCTAACAACAACAACAACAACAACTCCTTTACTTGGGATTCTTGCCTTTATCAACTTTTGTAGTTAGCTAACTCTGTAGAGCTTTGTCAGAAACTTGACTCTGTATTTCCTCAGTGTGCAAGACTTTTGCCTTTTTACTACTAAAACTTTTTAAAAAAATATAAAAGAATATCTAGATTGAAAGAGTTATTGGGTAGGCAGCTGAGTCTGCAAGCTGAGAAACAACTGGACTGATGGTCACTTTGAATTCCTTGAAGTCCAAATAGAAACCAAGGTTTGGCCTCATTAACTTGGGAATTTCCTTTCATGTATGTATACATTTAATTTTAGCTCATGCATCTGAGCTAAACTTCTTAGCTCATTATTGTTTATTGACAAGCCACCCTTGGTTGATTTATTTCTTT